GGCAGCCTGTGTTGTCAGCCCCCCCCCCCCTCCTGAGCGCACCGGCAGCAGCCTCGCCAAGTGCGGGAGCCAAAGGTCAGGTTCAAAACTCAACCCAAGGCCGCGGAGGGAGGGCAGAGGTTGGGAGCTCCTGGAAGGAAGGAAGGAATGAGGGAAAGAGAAAGGGAGGGGGGGGGAGGGAAGAGACAGAGTGAAAGAGAATGGGATGAAAAGAAGGAAGGGAAGAAAGAATAGAGCAGAATAGGATACATTTATTGTCATTGTAAAACGAAATCAAATGCTCTCCCCAGCACACATCACAAAACAACACGCACATCCTTCCACACTCCAACCACCCCAAAGGAGTAGAGAAAGAGAAAGGGAAAGAGAAAGGGAGGGAAGGAAGGCGGGAGGGAGGAAGGAAGAAAGGGAAGAGAAAAGGAAAGAAGGAAGAAGAAGAAAAGAAAGAAAGGAAAGGGGAAGGGAGGGATGGAGGGAGGAAGGAAGAGAAAGAGAAAAAGAAGGAAGGAAGGAAAGAGAAAAGGAAGAAAGGAAGAAGGGAGAGAGGGAAAGGGAAGGAAGGAAGAGGAAAGGAAGGAAGGAATGAAGGAGGGAGAAAAAGGGGGAAGGAAGGGAGGGAGGGAAAGAGAAGGAAGGATGGAAAGGGAAGAGAAGGAGGAAGAAAGGGAAAGAGAAAAGGAAGAAGGAAGAAGGGAAGGGGGAAGAAGGAAGGAAGGAGGAAGGAAGGGGGAAGGGAAAGGAAGGAGGAGGAAGAGAGGAGGGAGGGAAAGGGAGGGAGGAGGAAGGAAGGAAGGAAGAGAGAAAGGAAGGGGAAGGGAAAGAGAAGGAAGGAAAGAAGGGGGAGAGAGGGAAAGGAAGGAAGGAAGAAGGAAGGAAGGAGGAAGGAAAGGAAGGAAGAGGGAGGAAAAAGGGAGGAAGGAAGGAGGGAGGGAAAAGGAGGAAGGAAGGAGAGAGAAAAGGAAGGAAGGAAGGAAAGAGAAGAAGAGGAGAGAGAAGAAGAGAGGAGAGAAAAGGAAAAAGGAAGAAGGAGAGAGGGAAAGGGAAGGAAGGAAGAAGAAGGGAAAGGAAAGGAAGAAAGAAGGAGGGAGAAAAAGGGGAGGGAAGGAGGAAAGGAGGAAGGAAGGAAGGAAGGAAAGAGAAGGAAGGAGGAGGGAAAGAGAAGGAAGGGAAAGAAAGGAAGGGAAGGAGAGAGAAAGGAGAAGGAAGGAAGGAAGGAAGGAAGGAAAGGGAAGAGAAAAAAAGGAAAGAAGGAGGAAGGAAGAGGGAGGGAAAGGGAGGGAAGGAAGGAAGGAGGAAGGAAAGAAGAAAGAAAGGCAAGGAGGCGGGAGGGAAAAGGAAGGAGGGAGAGAAAGAAAGGGAGGGAGGGAAAGAGAAAAGGGAGGAAGGAAGGGGGGAAGGGAAAGGGAAGGAAGGAAGCCTGTTTCCGGAAAAGAGAGTTTGCCAGTCACGCCCCAGGGCTGCAGCGGGACCTTCTTGCCCTTCTTGGTGCGAGTGCGGAAACCAGCCAATGGAAGAAGGGCGAATAAGGGTATCCCCGTCACTATAATCTGGTTTCTGCCTCCTGCAGAATTCTGGGATTTGTAGTGTGGGGATGAGCCTTTAACAGCCTCACTCAACTACAAACCTCAGAATTATGCAGGAGGTGGAAACCGGATTTTAAGTGGGTTTTTTCTCTATTGTGATGAACTATGTTCGGAACAGGTACATTTTTAAGAGTATCTCCAGCCAAAAATATATATTCTTTCACTTTCTTGGTTTTAGCAGCCTAATTGAGATGAAATATAACATTTTGGTGTTGCTGTTGTTAAACATTTTAGAAGAGGGAACCCACCAACCTTTTGTTTTTGTTTTCAAATCCAAATTTCTTGAGATTTGAACTGTTATGTCCAGGATAGAGCTGTCCAGGAAATCCTCCTCTTGAGATGCACAGCCCTCTAGTGGTTGTTACCATGAGCAACAGCTCATTCTCTAATGCCAGTGTGTAGCAATCCTGTGGGGAATAGGAAGGCCTATCATCCTTGCATCAATAGGTGGATGAGCTCCATCTGTCAGCTCCAGCTCCCCATGCAGGGACATGAGAGAAGCCTCCCACAAGGATGGCAAAACATCAAAACATCTGGGCATCCCCTGGCCAATGTCCTTGCAGACGGCCAATTCTCTCACACCAGAAGCAACTTGCAGTTTCTCAAGTCGCTCCTGACCAATAAATAAATAAATAAAATCAACAGGCAACATTCTATGGATTAGAATGCTCTGCCAAAATCTGGAGCTTAATTTAAATGTAAAGCATATTTATAACGGCATCACATCTCACTGATAAGCAAACATTAGGGGAAATACACAAAACATGCAGACCTTGCCCGTCAGCACACCAGTACAAAGTGAAGAAATCCAGTTATTCTGGAGCTAAATTTAAGGAGGGCAATGCACATGTTTATTACATGGATATGATAGAAAACCTATGAAATGCAGCTGTTGCTAAGAGAATAACCTTCTTACATTTAGGAACATAGTAATTTACTTTCAACAGTATGGCAGAGTAGAAAGAAAGCATAATTTTCACAGTCTGGTGGCATCTTTTTCCAGTTTTAATGACTAATAGAATGGTTGTTTGGGTTTTTTGTTTTTGGCAAAAATAGCCAAGGTTGGAGAAATTGTACACATTTACATCGTTTATACAGGTAGTAGAACAATACTAATTTGGATTATTTTAGGCATAGATTTTCTATGCCTTTCTGTCAGTGTAGTGAGTAGAAGAAGCTCATATTGTTTATATATTTCAGCAGTAGATGAAAACATGAGTTTGGCAGGAAAGGGAGTTGCTTTATTTCCTCAAACCAATTGAGAGAATCAGGATTGTGGGGGTAGGCAATACAAAAATACAGTCATAAAATGTTAGGCTCAGACGAGACCAAAAAGGCCACCTAGTCCATCCTCCTGCCACACAAGTATACACCATTAAAGCACTCCTAAGAGATGCCCATTCAAACTGTTTTCACAGACTTCTATATATGAAGAGCCCATAACCCCACGAGATAATTAATTCCACTCTCAGAAAACTTAGACCCCTTCCACACAGCTGTATAAAATCCCACATTATCTGCTTTGAACTGGAATATATGGCAGTGTGGACTCTGATAACCCAGTTCAAAGCAGATATTGTGGGATTTTCTGTCTTGATATTCTGGGTCATATGGCTGTCTGGAAGGGCCCTTAAAATATTAAGGTGGAATCTTTTTTAGTCTTTTTTTTTAGTCTCTGGAGCAGCAGAAACCCATTTGCTATACCTTCTAATCTTACATTAGGATATTTAAAGACAGCTATCATATCACCACTCATCCACCTCTTCTCCAAACAAAACTTACTATGTTCCATTATCGCTTCATCAGACTTATTTCCAGAACTGATCATCTTGGTTGTCCTTCTCTGGATATGTTTCAGTCTGTCAATAACAATTTGAATTGTGGTGGCCAGAATTAATGTTTGAGGTGAGGTCTTACCAAAACAAAACAGAACAACACTGTTATTTATCTTGATGTAGACATTCTGCGTCGGTTGTTGCAGTCCAGAAATACATCAGTACTTTTGGCCACTGCATAGGCCTTTCAAGCTGTAAGTCACCTACCCTTTATTTCCACATTTCATTTTTCTTACTTCAATGTAGTACCTTACATTTATCCCTGTTGGAATCCCAGATTATATGATAATGGAGACTAACATGATCAAAGAAGATAATCTGGAATCAGATCCTGGGGTATAAGGACAGTGTAGAATAGTGGTTCTCAACCTGTGGGTCCCCAGGTGTTTTGGCCTACAACTCCCAGAAATCCCAGCCAGTTTACCAGCTGTTAGGATTTCTGGGAGTTGAAGGCCAAAAACATCTGGGGACCACAGGTTGAGAACCACTGGTGTAGAAGGAGCTTAAGACACACTTACTCCCAATTATAGGGACTCCAAAAACTTGCTAAAGTAAAGGTTTCTCCTGATATTAAGTCTAGTCGTGTCCAACACTGCGGGGTGGTGCTCATCTCCATTTCTACACCGAAGACCGGTGTTGTGATGTGGCCAGCACGACTGCATGGAGCACAGTTACCTTCCCGCCAAAGCGGTACCTATTGATCTACTCACATTTGCATGTTTTCGAACTGCTAGGTTGGCAGAAGTTGGGGCTAACAGCAAGAGCTCACCCCGGTCCCCAGATTCGAAACACTTTTTACATCAGCAGGTTCAGCAGCACTGCTCGATGGAAAAAGTATGCCTACCTCAGAGGAAAGAGGAAGAGCCCAAGTCAGAAATAGCTCTGGTTGTTTGTTTACCACTGAGGGAGAGGAGAAGAAGGAGCAGAAAGGGCTCCAGCCCCAAATGACTGTTGTTGTTTTTTTAATTTTTTACCTTTGAGAGAGAGGAGGAAGAAGAGACGACTCTACTAGCCTGTAGCATTTTGTTGTCAGCTTCAACCAGCCAGATGTTTGCCAGTCTGGCTAAGGCAGTGATTCTCAACCTGTGGATACCCAGGTGTTTTGGTCGACAACTCCCAGAAATCCCAGCTGTTTGGATTTTTGGGAGTTGAAGGCCAAAACACGTGGGGACCCACAGGATGAGAACCACTAGGCTAAGGGGAGCCCTGCATTCTGCTTCCCCTGCCTTTCCAACATCCACAGAGCTAGCACAAAAGACAAGATGACTACCAGGTTGAAACTTGCAAAGTAAATTCTAAGTAATACTTAAAGCTAATTCTTACAACAAACAAACAAACAAAGCTTCAAAAATAGTTGTGCGTCTTGCAGTGATGGAATCCTAGATTCTGTGAAATACGGCATTTAACTTCCATTTCTGCTGAGTTAGGAGTTGTACACCTGCCTTTTTGGTCTCTCTGAAACATCCCAGGTTGTTTAATGTATAGTTTGGGCTACCATGCCTCAGGGATCTAACAATATAGAGGAAGAAAAAGGATTCTAGAAAACAGAGGAAGGACTCAAATCGTAACTGATGCACATTGCTTGTTGTCTCTAGTTTAATGCAATCCCACTAGTCTTTTGACTTCCCAGTACACAGGGCTGGCAAGTTCTTTGGCTTTTTCTGCTCCAGTGCATAAAACCTTCTCCAAATACGCTCTGTCTTCTTTTAGTCTCTGAAATTCATTCCTGATTGGAGCCAGTTTTTCAGTGACTGCCTCTGCCACCACTGCCTTGTAGTGAGCAGTGTCAAGACCAACACTTTGGTGTACTACTTCCTCTGTGCTGAGCCCAGTAATGGCTGAATGAATGGCCACGAGATTGGAGACACCTGGGCGGCCTTCTGGGTCATAAGTCACTTCAGAAGTAAAGTCTGTGACAGCCTTACGAAATTTCTTATGAATCTCCTCAGGACTGTCTGTTACGCATACTGTGGCTAACGCCAGAGGGTCTGATTTAGACATCTTGGATGACGGATCTCTGAGGGACCTCACCTTCTTTATAGTAGCTATGAGCAAGAGAGAGAGATGCATTACACAAAAGAGAAACTAGGCTATATCAAATCTCACCATAATTTATCTAAGTGATATTAGATATGCAATTCAGCCTTCCCACTCAGAAATGCAATACAGAGATAATATTATTGATTGCTGTAAGGATTACATGATAGTATGTGAAACACAGTAGAATGCACTATACAAATGGCTGGAGCTATTACACTGGCTAATACACATTTTGTTGCCTCATATGTTAGCCCTGCTTCTGGATATATTTGACCTGCAGATTTCAAAAAATGGCACCAGTTTCCCCCTAACATATAACAGTCTTCATCCGTTCACCCATAGAAAAATAATGAAAGCCATATCTAAGAAATTAGAGTCAATGTGGTCTATCTATCCAATGCCATTTTCTGAATCAGAATCCCAAATAACTCCAGAAACAGGACTAAAAACTAAGACATCAAGACATTTTTGGTTGGGCTGTTTTATTGTTATGTGCTTTCAAATTCACTCCAACTTACAGTAACTGTTGTAGATCAACCATAGGCTGGGGGTTTAACTGATGATTTAGAGAGGATTGTGAGTTTTCCTGTGGCACAAAGTGATGGGCTCTCAAGTCTGGGTAATGATGGTTCTTTCTGTGAGAAACTGGCTTAGGACATGCAGGGCCTCAAGGGCATTCAGGGTAGTCAGAAGTAACAACAGAAGATAAGGAATCGAGTGAAGAGCTGAGTGATAAGGAGAGTGAGCGATGGCTACAGAGATCAATAAAAGTCTTCGTTTACAAATCAGAGCAAAAAATAGATTGTGCCGTTCAGAGAGATTACGTGGGAAAGTTGTGAATGAAATTCACAGGAAACAGAATGATTTCATGGGTGTCTGTTAGACAGCAAGTTATTTACCTTTAGGTCGGTTCAGGCAATGCTGTGTTAGAGTGAGAAGCTAAGCCTGAGTTCTCTTGTTCCTGGTTCAAGTCAATCTTTGGTTTTGGATTTAATATATCCTGGAAGTTTTCTATGTTCCTGTTCATGTACTCCTGCTCAAATTTTACTAGTTATACCTTCTGGATTATGGACTTAAGCTGTATCTGTGATTTCTGGCTGTTCCTGGACTTTGTCGCCTCTGGAACGTAATGAGACATTTGGATTATTGTCTGGTTCTCACATGTTGCTAAACCTTTTTGGATTATACATCTTCCTTTCTTGTGTCTGATTTTTAAATGCTTTTAATATGTTTTTACAATAAACTGCTTATATTCCTGCACTCTTGTGTGGTGTGGTAGTCATAGGTGTTTCCAGGCCTGGAGTGCAACAGTAACCCTATTTTACATTTTCTTGTAGGATTTATTGAGAAAAAGTTTGTCACTGATTTCCTCTAAGGCAGTGGTTCTCAACCCGTGGGTCCCCAGATGTTTTAGCCTTCAACTCCCAGAAATCTGAACAACTAGTAAACTGACTGAGATTTCTGGGAGTTGTAGGCCAAAACACCTGGGGACTCACAGGTTGAGAACCACTGCTCTAAGGCATAAGATGTGTCCAAAGTCACTCAGTGGGTTTTCATGGTAGAGCAAACATTTGAACCCTAGTCTTTTGAAGTCCTAGTCCAACATGGTTTTACTACACTATGCTGGCTCATGATAGTTATACTACCAAGAATCTCTTGTCTCAATACTATGGTCCATTTGAATCCACAATTTCAAATAGATAAAGATTGCCACACTCCATATTATTAAATGGCAACAACACGAATGCAGATGTGCTGAAGCAGACATCACAGCCTTTTTATAGGAAGCAATCATCTGTGTTTTTTTTATTATCTCTGCACGTTCCTAGAACCAAACCATGGCGGATAAGGCATGCCCACTGTAAATCCATTTTACTTTTGTTTGCAAAGGTGTCAAACAGTTTCTTTTCACCTGTACAAATAACACTAAGTAACATGATTTTTGTTCCTGGGTTATACATGTCATTTCCTAATTGGTTCTATCATAAAACCACGGAAAACGTTTATTAAACTGCAAAAAATTGCTTTTGTGGGACATCCTGTCACACCTTTTGTTATAGTTTTTAATAAATATCTCCTAGAGTCTCAACCAATTAAACATAGTTTGTGGCAGCCACAAAAATGAAGTTTCTGGAGTATAACAACTACTTTCAAAGTAAGTACCACACAATGAAACAGGAAATAACACTTTCAAACCAGGAACAGATTCCCCCCCCCCCCGCCCCACCAAATTTTGTTACATAGTGTAATGTGTTCACAATCCCCTCCTCTCAAATACAGAGATGTTTTGGTAGACTTCTAGAACAGTGGGCAAAGTGCAGTCCACGTGCCTGTGAACCCTCTTCCACGGCCAGTTCCTCAAAGCTCCACTTCACGTCTTTAATAAAGGGTCTGATTTTTAGGCATTTTTTACCCTCAATGCCCGAAAACACATGAAATTACTCTCACCCCACTAGCAACCCATACCACCCCCAAACACCTACATTTTCTTCTTCCTTTCCTGTCAAAACAATCTAAATCACAAGAACGACATGTATTTATATCCCAGTCTTTCCTGAACACTGAAATTCAATGCGGTTTACAGAATATTCAAAAACGGAGCAGATTAAAAACACCAAACACACACACGCACACACACACACACGCACACACCACCAACAACAACACTATTCTGAAGAGCAATGGAACAATCTATAGAATTAAAGCCATTTAAAATTCATTAAAAGGCAGAATATACAAATCAAAACAACATAACCATTAAAATCCTATTATAGTCCATTCCTGAAAGCCTCCTGGAATAGGAGACTTTCTGTTTGCTGGCAGAAAATGTGCAAGGAGGGGAGCATTCTAGCCTCTCTGAGAAGGGAGTTCCAAAGTCTAGGAGCAACTATTAAAATGGCTACCAAATGTAATTGGGAAGGTGGTAAGATAGATACCAGGGCCTCCTTCAAAGATCTTACAGCTGATGAGACTGGGAACTATCTGGGAACTAAACGTATAGTGATGCAACATCAATTCTTGTCACCATTTTGAAAGGGACTACAGAGGAAAACAGAAGCATATGGGTTTGCTGGGGTATGTGTGTGTGTGTGTGTGTGGGGGGGAGTGTTTTGCGTCCACGTTTGGGGCAGGGAACACTGGCCCTCATCCTCTACAGTTGCCCATGCCTGCTCTAGAACAAAGTATCAGGTAGATTTTATATATTTTTTCCTTACTTAAAATTGACTTGGGCACTGGAAAAAAATCCCCGTATTTCTTGTTGAAGCGGCGGGCTGTATCTTGGGTCAGCTCCAAATGAAGGACTTGATCTTCTCCAACGGGAACATGTGTTGACCTTCCATTAAAGAATACACATAAGTACACATTCACATCTGTTTAAAGCTATTTCAGAAGAACTAAAACAAATGAATTAAACAAGTAGATTTGCCCTCAGATTATATGAACTACAGGTTGTGTCAATATTCAAGGGAGACAACATTCCTCCTCACTATGCCCCCTTGACAATTCCAGAGGGTCCTTCAGCCACACTATCAAGACCCCAAGTCCTGCGGCTCCCAGTCTTTTCAGCCATTTCCCATAACTTTTGAACACATATTTTTGTTGTTTATTTGTTCAGTTCCTTCTGACTCTTCGTGACCTCATGGAACAGTCCATGCCAGAGCTCCCTGTTGGCTGTCACCACCCCCAGCTCCTTCAAGGTCAAGCCAGTCACTTCAAGGATACCTCCATCCATCTTGCCTTTGGTCTGTCCCTCTTCCTTTTTCCTTCCATTTTCCCCAGCATCATTGTCTTCTCCAAGCTTTTCTGTCTTCTCAGTACTTCATCTTTGCCTCTAATATCCTTCCCTCCAGTGAGCAGTCGGGCATTATTTCCTGGGGTATGGACTGGTTTGATCTTCTTGCAGTCCAAGGCTCTCTCAGAATTTTCCTCCAGCACCATGGCATCTATCTTCCTTCACTCAGTCTTCCTTATGGTCCAGCTCTCACATTCATAGACATATATTAAAAGTAAAGCTTAAAAAAGCTAATACAGGCAGTCCCTGAGTTACAAACATCATACTGTCAAATGACTCATAGTTACAAATGGAGGTGAGACAGCAGGAAGTGAGAAAAATCTCTCTGTTGAAAGGGAAGTTCACTCTTGAAAGAGTTATTATGGGGAAAAGGTGCCCCCACTGAAGCTTTATCACCAACCCTTGTTTCCATAACAAGATACATTTTTCAAAATCCAATTTTCACAGGGACAGAGAGCAAGGGGAAATCTTCTGAATAGGGGCACAGACAGCAAAACAAACACGTCTGTCTGTCTGTCTGTCTGTCTGTCTGTCTGTCTGTCTGTCTACCTACCTACCTACCTACCTACCTACCTATCTGGAAATTACATAGACATCAAAATAAGCACCACTGGGATGTTTATCCCTCACTATGTGATCCATAGAGAGCGCGTACATACACATGTAAGGCTGGAGTTACGCTTAAAAATATACCTGTTCCGACTTACAAATTCAACTTAAAAACAAACCTCAAGAACCTATCTTGTTTGAAAGTTGGGGCCTGCTTGTATTTAGTTCGAATGCAATAAAATATTTCCCTTTCATTGCTTTATAGCAACCGTCATATCAATTTTGTTTATTCTTACTTGTAGAGAAGAATATCAGCAGCCTGAAGGATAGGGTAAGTGAAGAGGCCAGCGGTCCCTTCATTCATCTGGGTGGCATTCTTTATCTAGTTCCAGAAATAAATAAATAACAATTTGCATGACAATATAGGGCTAATCTTTTAATTTTTAACACAAAACCAAATAATTATTCTTCTGACTAAACTGATCTTTTATAAACTGAAGATAAGAAATGTGGCTTTTGTAATTTATGAAACAACCAAAAGAAAAAAAATCAAATATTATCTTAAACCAGACATGGGTAATTGTTAGGCCTAGCATCCCCCATTTAGCCTGCAAGCTTTCCTCTGCAGAAAAATTTCTTAACAAACCTTCCAGTGAGGAAAATGTTGCAGACGGGGTACACTTGTGAAACACCCCAGAATCCAGGCAAGTTGTGTATGTTCTGGTACCTGAAATAAATCAGAATGTGAAATTATGAGCATCTTATTTTAATGCAAACACAATAGTAGAAGAAAGACCTACATCCCAAGAAAGACAAAATGTATGAATGTATGAAGCTGTCTTCTGGACCAGCACGATGGCAGTACTCATCCTCAACGGATGGCAGTACTGGTATGCAGCAGGTATGGGCTTGTTCAGTAGACTCTCCTCTACAGTTCCATTTTGGTGGGAAGACTTAGAATTGAATGGTTGTGTTGTTAAAGTGCTAAGTATGGAACCCTGTGCAGACAGTCGGTCAATGCGGCTTAAGCAATGTGCAGTCATTGAATTCTTGACAGCAGAAGGTGTCACTCCAAAGGAGATTCATCAGAGAATGCAAGCTATTTATGGTGATTGTGTTGATGTGAGTACTGTGCGTTGTTGGGCGAGTTTCAGGAGTCAGCATCCTGGGTAGCCATCATGCACAGATCTTCCGATAGCCAAGCAAAGCAATAATGTGACCCCAAAATTCTTGTGAAATGCTGATTATGCTTGAAATTTCTCTCCGAGTGATATGATGATCATCCTGAATCAATCTGTCAACCTTTTGCTTGTGAAACTCGATGGTTCTTGTCACAGGATGTCCAACTCTTTGTTTGCCACACAAGTCAGATGTTCCCACCTCAACATCTTTAAAATTACTTGCCCAACAATGCACAGTGCTCACATCAATACAATCATCATAAACAGCTTGTATTCTCTGATAAACTCCTTTGGGGTGACACCTTTTGCTGTCAAGAATTCATTGACTGCATGTTGCTTAAGTTGCTTTGACCGATAGTCTGCGCAGGGTTTCATACTTTGCACTTTAACAACACAACCGTTCAATGCTAAGGCTTCCCACCAAAATGGAACTGAAGAGGAGCATCTACTGAACAAGCCAGTACCTGCCGCATACCAGTACTGCCATCTGTTGAGGAGTTAAGAAGGTGGAGGCATTACTTTTCATTCAACCCTCGTACATTGTTTTTTGGTCAGATCTCCCAACAAAAAGCGGGCAACAATGGGAAAGGAACAGATGTACATAAAAAAGGGGGGAGGGGAAAGGAGGGAGAAAACAGATCCATGGTGTGCAGGACCCTTTCTACTCACCTATTAACTAATAGCACAAAACTTTACCAAATTGTCTTTTGTGGGAATGGCCTTTTATTTTTCAGCCTGACAGAACAAACAATTAGAGTACATTCATTCACACCTCTAGAGATTAAAACTTAATGGGCTTTTCAAAAATTAGTTCTTTATTTACAGTTTGGCAACTACCGTACTCATCCTACATTGCAAAAAGCTCAAGAAGTTTCCATATTCTCTTTCTGTAATACATTGTTTCATATTTTTTTCCTCAGTTCATCTTTTCTATATTTTCCAACAGAGTTGCAAATTCATATATTTGCTCAGTCCTATTCAACAACAGCCAGATATTTTATAATAGCCACAAAGATGATAATTCAAACACATTTAGGAATCGAATGCAAAATTATCCAGTTGTAAGACAGAGAACACTGTTATCTAGATTACATTTGTAATGACAGAGTGTTTTCTATTGCATAACCAACTTTATACCTTCCAGTGCTTGCATTTTATCCATAATTTTATCCATAACAGTGCAACTTTATGCATGTCAACTCAGATGTAAGTCACACTGTGTTAAATGAGCCCAACTCACAGGCAAGTAGAGTGCACCTGCAGTCAAAGTGTGCAATGCTAGATACTCTTACCTGGGAACAACTTCTAACTTAGTGTGCGACTTATCTCCAAGTACACTGCATAGGATTACATTTGCAAAGGAAGTTGCTAACAGCTAACCCTTCACCAGAAACTGAGACCAGTGAAGTGGCAGTGATCTAATATGCTGCAGTTCAAAACCTTTCATATCTCCTGATGGAAGAATCCGTTTCCAGTACAGATATTATCTTCCTCTGAAAATGTTTCCTGGAGCATTGCTAAAAATACTTGGAAGAACATGAGTGTTATAGCTCCCCCATTAGCTGATTTCCCCAAAGATGTGATCATCCAATATGTTACATATCTCTACAGAGTTCTTACTGGGCACCAGTTCAATTATCTGTTGTTTCGGGATTCTGTTTCCCAGATTCAAGGCCATCTTTTTCCCATATCCACTTTCCTTCTCTGTCCCAATTATTCTCAATTTGAAACTGGAAAAATATTAAGCTTGGTTAATATATTCCTTTTAATTTTGGATCCAAAGCTTTAATAGCAATGTTTGTTTTACAGATTTTGGGCTTTTTGTTTTTATATATTTTTCCTTATATACCAAATACTGCAGAAGACAGGACCAGAATTTTAAAATGATTTTGACAGAGATGAGAAAACCGACCAAATAAATTTCCAACAGGGATAAAAAAGCTATTACTCTTCAATGTTTTTTATTGATGACTTAGACAAGGCCTGGAGGGAATCCTTATCAAGTCTGTGGATGATACAAAATGGAGGGGTAGCTAACACATTGGAGCTTACAAACTACAAAGATGGGTGGAAATCAATAAAATGAAATTCAACACAAAATGCAGAACTTGACATTTAGCACATAAACAGCAAATGCACAGGGAAAAATCTGACTTGTGGTTATATATATGAAAAAACATTACTGTTGATCAGAAGATGAACTTAACCAATCAATGAAATGCTGCAGCAAAGACGCTGAATAACATTTTGGCTGGCATTAATTGAAGTATAGCTTCCAAATCAAGATAAGTAATAGTCAGGACTTGTCAGGTCTCCTCTGGAGTTATGGGACCATCATTTTAAGAAGGATATAGAGAAATGGTGTTTATAAAAGGGCAACAAGGATGGTATCAGGTATACAGAACAAAACATATATGAAAAGGTGGAAGGAGTTGACCTGATAAAGAAAAGACAAAGGGGTGACATGAATGTACTCTTCAAATACTGCAAGGACTGAAACTTATTACCCCAGTAGGAAAAGCAAGATCTAATCGTTTTAAGTTATAGGGGGATAGATTTCAATTGAACATTGGAATAAATACATATTAATATGTGAGGGGAAGTCACAGGGAGGAGGGAGAAGTTTTTCTTCTTCTGCTGCCCTAGAGATGCAGAGCAATAGTTTCAAACTACAGGAAAGGAGATTCTACCTAAACATTAAGGAACTTCCTAACTGTGTTCAACAATGGAACTCTCTGCCCCCGAGTATGGTGGTAGAGGCGCCTTCTTTGGAGGCTTTTAAGCAGAGGCTGGATGGCCATCTGTCGGGGGTGCTCTGAATGCGATTTTCCTGCTTCTTGGTAGAGTGGGGTTGGACTGGATGTGGTCTCTTCCAACTCTAGGATTCTATGATTCAATGGAAGGAACCTCTTAACAGAGAGAGTGGTTTGGAAATGGAACCAATTGCCTAGAGAAGTGGTGGTGCCTCCATCTCTGGTAAAGATTTCTCCTCGACATTAAGTCCAGTCGTGTCTGACTCTGGGGGGTGGTGCTGAAGAACCGGTGCTGCTTGCAGATGCCTCCAAGGTCATGCGGCTGGCATGATGGCATGGAGAACCATTACCTTCCCGCAGAAGTAGTACCTACTGATCTCACATTTGCATGTTTTCAAACTGCTAGGTTGGCAGAAGTTGGGGCTAACAGCAGGAGCTTACCTCACTCCCCAGATTCGAACTCCCAACCTTTCAGTCAGCAAGTTCAGCAGCTCAACGGCTTAATGTGCTGCACCACCAGTGGCTCCCATCTATGGACATCTCACAAAAAGCTGGACAGCTCCTTATTGGGAATGCTAGAGGTGGAGCTCTTTCACTGAGCAGAGGGTTGGATCCGATGGGCCAAGGAAACCCTCTATAATTCTAAATGCAAAACTCTAATCTAGGCAAGGAAAATGAAATGCACAAATACAGGACAGGTGACATCTGGTTTGAAAACAAAGTACATGTGAAAAGGATCCAGGGGTCTTGTTATATCACACGCTGAACATGAGTCAACAGTGTAATGCAGACAAGACAGATGAGTTCTTTCTCCCACGCTGGACATTCCACAGATATATAAACCTCTCTTGCCTAGTTTTGAATAGACTTCACAACCTCTGAGGATGCCTGCCATAGATGTGGGCGAAACGTCAGGAGAAAATGCTTCTGGAACATAGCCATAGAGCCCATAAAATTCATAGCAACCCAGTGTAATGCAGTTTAAAACCTACTTCAAGGGGGATAGCAGTGATATTTCATTCTTCTTTAGTAAGAACTCTTCTAATTATTGTCTCAAGTTCTTGGCACAGTAATTTTAAGAGGACACTGGTAAGCTGGAACATGTCAAGAGAAAGGCAGCCAAGATGATTTAGTGTCTAGAAACCAAGCTTTTCAGAAATGGCTAAGAGTGCTGGGTGTGTTTTGCCTGAAGAAGATAGAAAGGCAAAATCGTATTTTTTAAAAATATCAGAAAGGATATCATGTAGAAATTGGAGCAAGCTTGTTTTCTGTTGCTTCAGAAACACAAGAGATACAATTTTAAAAACTGACAAAATATAATTCCAATTAAATTCCGTATGTTGGTTGCATAGGCTTTACTATTGATCACCTACACAACTTCTGACCCAAATGAACCAGTGTAATTCATTGTAGGGATTCAAATGCAACATTCTGCTACACTTAAACAACCAACTTGTAGGGAGGTAACAATTAATCAGAACACCATTTTACAGTTGCTAAGTGGTTTTAGTCTGAAAAATTGATCAATAACATGATGGTGACTGAAATTCTCAAAACAGGAATGATTATAGTTGTAAGTGCCATTATTTTTGTTAAGCCTGCTGCTCGTCCCTTATGAGCGCCTCCCTCACAAATACACTTTTTCATTACTATCTCATCCAGGGTTTTATCATTTTTATCTTGTGCATCTAGCACGCCCACAGTGTTCTATTTTTTTCTCATTATATTATTTTGCAACTGTTTATTTTATTTTATTAGTTTATATATTTTATTTTATTGTGATGTGATTTTTGTTGCCTTTTATTTTATTTTGTTGCATTGTATTTTTGGGTTTGGCCTCATGTTAGCTGCCCAAGTCCCCTTTGGGGAGATGGTGGCGGGGTATAAATAAAGAGGATGAGGATGATGATGAGGATGATGACATCATGAAACTCACTTATACATCACTGAGGCTTTCAAGACACTAATTCTCAGGGCCATGATTGAATCTATCCATGTATATCCATGGGTACTCACTTTTAGACATGTAGAATTGTAGTTTTAGTTTTCCTAAATATTTTTCCCCACATTACATTGTAGCCTCCTAAAAACTTGACCATCAGTTATGGTAGCACATCAATATTTTTGGATGACCAGAATCCTTATCATGTGGATTTGAAATACTCAATAAGTTGTCTATGAGAGCATCAACATTGCAGAATTAATGCAGTTTGACACCATATTGCTCAATGCTATGGAATAATAGTAGTAGTTTGGTGTTGCACCAGCACTATTTGGAAAAGACTAAAGACCTTGTAACCTATCATTTATAGAAACAGTCTCCTCTCCATCATTGCTCTTTCTCTAATCAGATTCTTAGAGGCAACATTAACATACCAGATCCACTGAACTTCCACCAGATTAAAACAAGCAGTGGATCACATCAGTTGTTGCTCGGTATGCAGCACCTGCTATGAGTTTATATTGGTCAAATCTTCTTTTTCATATCTTTGTTTAGGTTCATGTTGGTATTCTGCCTGGTATTCACCTTCCTCTAAATTCTTGGTAACATGCAAATGTTGTAAATTACATAGACCTTTTATGCATTAAATTTTATATACCAGTATGCTATATATCTTATGAACCACAGAATCAAAGTACCATGTAGTTAGAAGAAACCATAACATCATTCTGCTATGCAGGAAAACACAATCAAAGTACTCCTTTTTGACATTATTTGTATTATTTGCATCCCATTATTTCCATTTTGCATTTTTTTTCTCAAATCAGCATGCAGTCTACAAAAATTCCCGTTTTTGCTAACGTTGAGGCATGAAAACAGCACTCCGGTGTTTACAATATAATACTTTCTATTTCAAGAAACCTTCTGGAGCTTCTCTCTTCATCACATGCAGTTGCCATCTGGAATTCTTATGTCACTGAAATAATGTCTGCTTCTCTTTGCTGTATTTTTAACTCTCTCTTCACTGAGCTTGGGCTTCGACAAATCTGAAAAATCTACAATGGCTATTTTGAATTTTTCCTTTGTAATGTTGTGACCAGGAGATTTATGCCTTCAAGGACACTCGCATCAAACACAACATTTCTCATTAATTCAGTTTTTATCTCCACAGCCATTTGCTCAAATGTGGTCTGTCTTTTCACGCTGTTAATCTCACAGCAGCAGTGTGGACTTGGATAACTGAGTTCAAATAAGATATTGTGGGATTTCTTGCATCGATATTCTGAATTATATAGCTGTGTGGAAGGGCCCTAAGATACACATTTTGTAAGTCCTGACACAGAATTTGTGATATGAAATACACAGAAGGGATAGATAGACAGTAAGGAGGTCAACTACTGATCCTAATATTTGGTGGAACAGCTTCCTTCCATAAAAAAAGAAGGAGGGAAGGAAGGAGGAAGATAAATACTGACCTGAGATTGCTGGAAAAGGATGCATTTCTGTGGATTTAGGCCACAAGCAAGGAGAACGGCTGCAATGTCTTGGATGCTTGTGCGTAGAACAGCGGGCTCTCTTGGTGTGGTGAGAGAATGGAGATCCACAATGCTGTATAACACAGAGCTGCATTCATCCTGCAACTTCACCCAGTTTGTGATAGCGCCAAGGTAGTTTCCAAGGTGAGGGATTCCAGTTGGTTGAATACCTGAGAAAATCCTTTTCAGGCCTTTATTCTGTAAGAAAACAATGATTCCATATCATTTGTGAACTCAAGCAATGATTTTATATCATTTGTGAACTCATAATTTGAGAACATGGAGTACTTGGGAAAGAGAAATCCCCAGAATAGATGGCAGGCAAAAATATGATAGCTGGGACCCAACGCTACGCTACTTGCGTAATGTGGCTCTGAATTAAGGAAGGGAAAATATGCGTGAGACAGCAAAGCGAGTGAGAGACGTAGCTGCATCAGTCCTGGGAACATTGCTTGCCAGAAAAGGGGAGAGGAAACATTTCTACCCCGATTACCGTCTTCGTAAGCCATTGTTTATCATTTAACAGTATATAACTCTAACATTACTTCATTCAACTTAAGCAGTATGCTTAGCTGTTTTTTCCCTCTCCCCTTTCTGACCCGCATTGTGCACGTCTTCCCTTCATTAATTCTGCCCTGTGTTGCACAACCAGCATAGACTCCCAGCTACTAGCATAGGGTCCCAGCTATCATACTTTTGCTAGATGGCATTCTAACAGAGTTTTCAGATTACAGAGATAGAATCCCTTCACTTTCTAACAAACGTCTGCCAACAAATATGGAAAACAAAACAATGATCCACAGATTGGAAATGTTGATTATACATTCCAAGGTCCAAGAAAGTGGAAACTATTGGACTATTGCAAAAATGTCACATGGAAGCAAAATTATGCTCACTATTTTACAAAGACCTTTACAGTACATGGAAGTTGGGTTTAGCAAAGAAAGAGACACTAAGGACAACATTTCAAACCTATTGTTGAGTAATGGAGCATACCAAAGAATATCAGAGGAAGGTCAGCCACTGTTTTATGGATCACTCCAGAATATCTCCTATCTTCATCAATGAAGCACTGTTTTCCTTTTGGGAGAACACTAAGACAAAGACTAAGCAGGTCGGCCTTCTCTCTGTCCCATTAGCATTTCACCATCTTCTCCAGGCAGTAACTGAATAAGAATACCTTGCTACTTAGAGCCCATGGGCCAGTTTGCAGTGTAGATGCGCCTAAAGGTGAGCTTCATCCACAGACTGAGAAGGAAGTACTGCCATTTTATTTTCGTCTGTCAAGTTTAACTAGTGGTCAAAGAAACTGAATTTACACTGTGTTATAATCTTAGAATCTTAGGCCCCTTCCACAAAGCTGTATAAAATCCAGATTGAATAATAACAATAATAGTAATAATAGCAATAATAGGTAAAAGGTAAAGATTTCCCCTGACATTAAGTCTAGTTGTGTCCAACTTTGGGGGTTGGTGCTCATCTCCATTTCTAAGCCAAAGAGCCAGCGTTGTCCATAGACACCTCAAAGGTCATGTGGCCAGCATGACTGCATGGAGCACTGTTACCTTCCTGTAGAAACTGAACTTATTGATCTACTCACGTTTGCATGTTTTCAAATTGCATTAATAATAATAATAATAATAATAATAATAATAATAATACTTTATTTATACCCCACCATCACTTCCCAGAGGGAACTGGATTATATGAGAGTGTGGACCCCAGTTAAAAGCAAATATTGTGGATCATCCGCCTTGATATTCTGGATTATATGGCTGTGTGGAAGGACCCTTAGAATCATGGAAGAGATCACAAGGGCCATACAGTCCAAACTCCTGCCATGCAATAAAACACAATAAAATTACTCCCAACAAAGTCATGCAGTCTCCAAGGCAGCATATTCCACAGGCGAACAGCTATGACCGTCAGGACGTTTTTCTTAATGTTTAGCTGGAATTTCTTTTCCTGCAATTTGAATTCATTGCTCTATGTATTAGTCTTCAGAGCAGCAGAAGAAAAGCCTAACCCTTCTTTTCTGTGACATCATTTCAAATAATAAGCATGGCTATCATGCACCGCTCAGCCTTTACTCCAAGCTAAACATACCCGGCATTCTGAGCTACTCCTCATAATGCTTTGTTTCCAAACTTTTGATCATTTTCTGGACACATTCCAGCTTGTCAATATCCTTCTTGAACTGTGGTACCCAGAACTGGACAAGTACTCCAGGTGAGGTCTGACCAAAGCAGACCATGACTTCCCTCTATTAGAAGCCTAGAATCACATTGGCTTTTTAGCAACCACATCACACGTTTAACATGTGGTCTAGTAAGCCTCCTAAATCCCTTTCACATGTACTGTTTTCAAGCTAGGTATCACCCACCCTATATCTGTTAACTTCATTTTTATTGCCTGTGTGTAATACATTGCACTTTTTCCTTTTGAAATTCATTTTGTGGGGTTTTTTTCCAGCTCTCTAATCTGTTAAGGTAATTTTAGATTCTAATATCCCACAGGACCTTGTAAAAAGCCTTACTGAAATCAAGATATGCTACAGGGATAACGGTGATGTTGCTGTTATTCCATTCCAGAAAAATGGGCCAAAATACATAAAGGAGGCTCTAATGTTTGGAACCTGCAAATATGCAGAGCTACATTTTAGAATCTCAGGCTACAAAGAAACTTTCTATTCAACTTATGACAAAACCAACATTACACTCGAATAAAAAATGGACAGGCAGGGTTTTGGCTATCTATATTTTTTGCCAGATGGCTTGGCCAACCATATTTGTCAACAAAATACCAATATATATCACTCCTTCCAGATTGCAAGTTTAACAGTGATTATTTGTGTAAAAGTCCTAAATGCATTCGGATTTTGAGTGTGAAAAATATCAGGCTAATCAGTCAAAACTGTTAGAGATACTTGAGTTAAAGGTTAAGAAAGAATTATATACTCGAGTATAAACCGGCCCGAATATAAGCCGAGGTACCTAATTTAACCACAAAAAACTGGGAAAACGTACTGACTAATAAAATAATAAATGTAATAATAATAATAATAGATAAAATACTGTATATACTCAAGTATAAGCTTAATTTTTCAGCCTCTGATTTAGGCTGAAAAAGCCCCCCTCGGCTTATACTTGAGTCAAGGTTATTTATTATTATATTCTGCTATTAGTATATTTATTATTTTACTCTATTTATTATTATTACATTTATTATTTTACTTTATCATTATTCTTATTATTACATATATTATTTTACTCTATTATTACTGTTAGCATTACATTGATTATTTTATTCTTTTTATTATTATTGGAAGGATACGTAAGCACATTTACAATGAAGAAGGTTAGAATTATGCTTTAATCAGAGTTGGTTAGTCTTATCTTAAACTACACTTTTACGTAAATATTCAAAAACATTTAACCTACTGATGCCTCAATTAATGTAATTATATTGCTATCTATTTTTATTTTTAAATTTACCAGTAGCTGCTGCATTTCCTACCCTTGGCTTACACTCAAGTCAATATGTTTTCCCAGTTTTTTTGTAGTAAAATTAGGTGCCTTGGCTTATACTCGACTTATATGTCACCCCTTCCAGATTGCAAGTTTAACAGTGATTATTTATGTAAAAGTCCTGAATGTATTAGGATTTGGAGTGTGAAAGATATCAGGTTAATTAGTCGAAACTGTCAGAGATACATGCGTTAAAGTTTAAGAGATAATTATGTAAACTCTTCAACATATGGAAAATACTTTCCCCACCTCTTTTAATTCCATTTTTCCCCTTTTAAAAATATATATTTCTGGAACATTTTTCAGATATAGATTACCACTTTGATTCTCCAAGAGAGAAGTACTCTTCTTGATACAAGAAGGAAACCTAAAGTATAAATGTCTAAACAACAAAGAGAATTCTATAAGGTTTTAAACAATTTCACATACAACCTGGCATGTGGCTTTAACCCGCCCCCCCCCCCCCCAGCATAAATCATCAATCATAACTAACAGTTTCATTTCTTAAGGGGGAAAGTATAGTCTCAGGTGGTCTCTTTATTCTCTACATTAAAGTGTAAACCAAAACTCCCATTCAAATCACATGCTTCGTTTGCTAAATTTTTGTAGATTTTGTTCAGCCACAGTATCTGGAAACCTCCATTTACCACAGTGATTACTAGATACTTAAGAATGTAGCAATTTCCAGGAAATAATAGGCTGCTGCTTCACAGTGAGGTCCCACTCTGGTCTCCCCGCATCTCCTTTGAATGCCCTTAAAGGCTGGGACTGTAGGCAAGGAGGTGGCACAACACACAGAATGACCTCCAGGACGCGAACGAACTTTTAATATGTTACAGAACGTGGAGAATTCAACTCAGGTGTGTCATTTTTGACAATAATCTGGAATTTCACAGATCCAGTAGAATTGGTTTCTATTTTTTTCTTCTAAAAGAAAAAAAAAGAAACAAAATACCATATCATATATCAAATGCCTTTGAATTGCAACTCCTTTTCAAAAGCAGATTGCCATGTGGCATAGTTGCAAGTTGCCAGTATATAGCACATGGACTGCATCCAGAAAATTAAATGCTAGACATATCTCAATAAGAATTAACACGTAAAACAATCACAATTAGTCTGATGAGCCAATCTTAAGCAGCTCAATATATGGCAACTTCATGTAACACATTCTCTCTAGTTTTCCAATCAGAAAAATGTTGTGGCAAACATTTCAACAGAAAGCCAGGTATTAAAAAGAGAAGGGGGAAAATCCACTGAAGATATGGATTGATTATATTGCAGGAGTTTTTTTTGACCTCACAACCTCTGAGGATGCTAATAATAATAATAATAATAATAATAATAATAATAATACTTTATACCTCGCCACCATCTCCCCAAAGGGACTCAGGGCGGCTTACATGAGGCCAAGCCCATCAAATACAAATACAACAATACATCAACAAGCAAGCAAGCAAATAAAACAATACAGTTGAACATATAAGCAATAACATACAAAATATTGCCATAAATGCAGGCGAAACGTCAGGAGAGATGCTTCTAGAACATGACCATATAGCCTGAAAAACCTACAAGAACCCAGTTTATTTGACCGATCGCATCTTCTCTTACAAACCAGATCGGGCACTGCAGTCAGCGGAGGAGGCCCTGCTCTCGATCCCACCTTCT